CTGTCGAGAGCGAAGCCGAGACAGGTTGCACGATATATGTATATATATATGAATATATATATATGAATATATATATATATATATATATATATATATATATATATATATATATATATATATATTATATAAATATGTGCGCACACACTCACACACAGATATACATACATATATATGTATATATATATATATATATATATATATATATATATATATATATATATATATATATAGTGTGTGTGTGTGTGTGTGTGTGTGTGTGTGTGTGTGTGTGTGTACGTGAGTGTGTGTGTGTATGTGTGTGTATGTGTGTGTATGTGTGTGTATGTGTGTGTATGTGTGTGTGTGTGTGTGTGTGTGTGTGTTAGTGTGTGTGTGTGTGTGTGTGTGTGTGTGTGTGTGTGTGTGTGTGTGTGTGTGTGTGTGTGTGTGTGTGTGTGTGTGTGTGTGAGTGTGTGTTTGTGTGTCTGTGTGTGTATCACATTACATAGTCCTATTACAAAAATTTGAATAGACTAATTATAAATATTTAGTCTATAGACTAAATATTGGTCTATATAGACCTTGCTTTAAAGAACCCTATCCTGGAGATCTTTCCCAGTGGAGAGAAATGACACACGAGGAGCCATTTGCTGTTAAATCTGACAGAAATCAAGAGATGAAGACAACATGCACAAAACATTTCATGTGAGAAGATCAACTACAATTAAATTAATGCTGCAACCTTTCAACTCATTATTATAACTTAAAAGTTCAAGATATGGTCCAAAATCCGGTGACACATTTCCTTTAAATAATCAGACTTCCGTACGACTCATCTCTCTCTCACGCACGGACGCAAGCACGCACGCACGTACACTTTCTCTCTCACGCACGGACGCAAGTACGCACGCACGTACACACACACTCTCTCTCTCTCTCACACACACACACAACTCGTCATATAAAACAAAAATGAAATATATAAGTTTCCCCTTTGATAACCGCTTCCTATTTTCTGTAAGGAATGACCTTGCCTTTCCCACCCGCTTGTCGCATGACATCGACCTGTACATGTTTTTCATTTGACATCCCTCAGATCCAATGGCGTCTAGTGTAATATAGCATTGAAATTGCCCTATAACGCCATAGACGTAGTCAAAGTTAATACATCGATAAAATTATCCGAATGCATAGGTATGAAAATCGTCCAAAAACTTGACTTTTTGCAGATAAACGAAATAATTTGGAAAGGACGAAGCAATGTGAGATGGACGTCGGTCCCTCCACGCTGGAGACTTCAACTTCCAGTAGACGTTTCTCAGCTCATCACTTTAGATGCATTACTGTGTCTCGTCTCAGTTATATATATTATAGGCGTCTTGGAGCTCATTAGAGTGCAAAAATGGATACAAGAAGATTAACGCAATATGTACTCTGTGTATATGTGATACTAGCCACGGTAACTTTAGCACAAGGTATGTTAAATTAGTGGACAGTCTGGTGAGGTCTTTGTGGGTGCTCTACTTTTAAATGTCATGTATTCTGGAATCCTTGTTGGTTGTGAGAGAGAGAGGTATTGGGAATTTGGTTCAGATTTTAATAATACGTATTTTCCAGAATGAAACGAAGATATAAAAGTGTGCATTTCGTAAGGGATTTGACTTTCGCTGCACTATATAGGTGAAGCAAAAAATTTCCTCGGAAAGTGAAAGCTTGAGATGTACCGTTATAGTTATGCGCTTCATTTGGCTTGCGAAGACCATGTATATCCAGATTCCACTTTATGCATAAAGAAAATTTAAATGACACAGGAATTGCTCAGGCTGACATTGTTTCGAGTTTCCGGAAACCAAGTAGTGATAAAGACATATAAATGAGTTTCCGGAAACCAAGTAGTGATAAAGACATATAAATATGTTCGGGTTAGTTACACTCTTTACCAATTTTACTTATTTCTTTTCCAACAATGCCTTATTCTCAGCTTCAAGAGTACCTTACGCTATATGTATGTGTTTGCGGGTGTGGGTGTGGATGGGTGCGTGTGCGTGGCATTTTTTTTTGTGGGAGTGGGTGTGGATGTGGGTGAGTACATGTGCATCTGATATTCTACCACGGCAATTTCAGTCCCCTAAGGACAATATTCCAGTGTAAGACTCCATTTTCATTTCTCCATCAATATAAAGATGGCTGAGCATATCTGTGATAAGTGTATACAAAGAAGTCTGCTGTATTTTTTTTCATTTTGACATTAATCTGCTCATAGAACTTTTAATGGTTAATACTTTAAACAAATAAATGTGCTAAGCATCAAGGTCGTATAGCATTCTTAACACTCAATATCTACACTAAATGTTCTGTACTGCATTATGCACAGTTATAACTACTTTGAAAGTTTGTTGTATAATTTCTACAATTTATTTATTAATACTTACTTGTGATTCTGTTTCCTGCTATGTAAAACAGTCTTGTATTTCTACACAAACAAGAATAATCAACTTGTTTTTACAGGACAGATAAAGCGCTGCTTTGCGTGCAGGTCTCGAGGTGCACTTGGAGACTGCAAAGATCCTTTTAGATTTAACTCGACACATCTGGTGCCTGGAGTAAAAGAGGAGCCATGTGCCTCGGGTTGGTGTTCTAAGAGCATCGAAGGAAAGAAAGATGGAAAAGGTGGGTGTCGACCTCCGTTTATGTATAAGTAAATACCTTTCTTGAGACTAGAGATGTATATATATAGACACACCATTCGTAGAAATGAAACTTATTAATGATTTTTATGTTACGTGATATGTAGTTATATTTATTATGCCTTTTTTTTCTCCATGTAGATCATGATCTTGCAATTGAACGACAGTGTCTCCAGCGGTCTCCACCAGACGATAAAGAAAGGTGTTCGGAAGCTTTAGTTGGTCATAGAAAGGTAAGAATCATAGTAGTGTGATAAAACTGCATATTATTCAAATGTCATGTTAGTAAATGCTATTATACTATGTGTGTAATTAAAATAGGTATATTAGTATATTAATATATTAATATACACTTTATCTTTTCCAGATATTTTTATGTTTTTGCTATGGAGATCTGTGCAACTCTGCTTCAGGAATTGAGCCTTCCATTTTGTTGCTGCTCATACCTCTAGCATTTCAGATGCTATCTAGAACATAGTCTGTTCTGACATGGTGCTTTGGAAATCTGAACTGTTGCTTGTTGACATTTTTAGGAGTTTATGTAAAAGTATTTTTGCATTATCATATGTTGATAGAAATCTCTTGATTTAAGGAATGTCCTTTCCTTATTATTTCTGGCTTATCAATATTAAAAATGTATAATAATTAAAAGGAAAGAGAAGTATTGTGATGAATTGCCAAAAAGGTATATAGCATTTTGATTTGGATGGTAAATATTGATTATATTTTTATGTTGATAGTGTATAAAATGTGAGGACAATTCAGCATTATCCGTAAAGGATGCACAAACAAAGACTAAAGGTAATTATGTGTATATATACATTTTCTTGCACATTTAGGAGTGATATATATTTTAATACTTAAACTGGTAGAAAATATATCTGCTTCCCTTTTAATTTCAAAATCATTTTGACTACTTGGCATTGGTGTCCACTGCATTTTTATCAGTTTTACTTGACATGTCACCGTATATGGAAGCATATATGAACTCACCTGTGCCTAAGATAAACTTGGTACTCTTACGTTCTAGATAGCCATATACAATTGCTTGACACACAGTATTATGGTACGATGTCTAATACTTAAATACTGTAGCAATGCATTTCCATATTTTAATATGGTTATTACTCATATTTGACCAAGCTTATATTTGGTAGATTATATTCCTGCTGTATGATTATGCAAATACATTAAAATACACACTAGATTTTATATATAAAGTATTGTATTTTCTGTAATTTGTTAAGTTACAAGGTGATATTTGATATAATTAATAAAATCCTATTGACTGAGTGATTACTAAAAATAGACTTGAAAGGAAAGAAAAAATAAGTTTAATTTTGCTAAATGAATGAAATGGCTCCATTCTAAGCAAAATTGGAGAAAGCATTGCATGATAATAAATAATTCTTTTTTTATCTATATAAATGTATAAATATATCTATGAATGGTGAAAACACTCTACCATGTTGATACTATGGTAGAAAAACCCACAATGTAAAAACTCAATAAATCTAGCTTTTACACTGCGGGTTTTTCTACCAAATATATCTATATATAAATAAAGTGATATGGAAAGTAGAGAATTTTGTGTTACTGAAGCTGCCTTAAAGTTTGCAACTTAAAAGAAACAGACACACACACACACACACACAGACAAATACACACACACACACACACAGACAAATACACACACACACACAGACAAATACACACACACACACAGACAAATACACACACACACACAGACAAACACACACACACACACACAGACAAATACACACACACACACAGACAAATACACACACACACACACAGACAAATACACACACACACACACAGACAAATACACACACAGACAAACACACACACAGACAAACACACACACACACACAGACAAACACACACACACACACACACAGACAAACACACACACACAGACAAATGCACACACACACAGACAAATGCACACACACACAGACAAACACAGACAAACACACACACACACACACACACACACACACACACACACACACACACACACACAGACAAACAGACACACACAGACAAACACACACACACAGACACACACACACACACACACACACACACACACACACACACACACACACACAAAAGAAAAGAAAAAAAAGAAGTAATGTATCCATTATACTGTACACAAAGTTGTGCTTTTAAGTAAAGTGCATATTATATTTTGAATTCATTCAGGTCTTCTATTGTCTCTAGTCTTTCATATTTCAAAAAATAAAATTATTTTCCTCCTTCCAAAATTAAATGGTAAACAAATAAGATCTAATAATGATTATATTTTGTAATATATTTACATATTTCTCCTTAATCCAGGCATAATGCTTTGTGTTATTCTAGTACATTATTAACAACTGTTATTTAGTAAATACGTTTAAATAATTTCTGAATGTGCGTAACATAAAAGTAGGATGAAATGAAAGAATATCTTGAATTTCCACATTTATTTTCTTGTAAATAAGAACATATGTACAAATTATGTACACATTCACAGCCAATCATGCACAAATGAATCATTTGTGCAGTGATTGTACTTACAGCACCAGATGAGTGACAATGATGAACCAAAGATGAACATCAAACACAGGTACCATCAATTAAAGACACCATTTTGCCTTGCATTCACCATCCTAACTTCCTTCTCTTCTGGTGGAAATGGAGTTCTTGAAAGCAGATTCCCCCTCTGCAATCATCTGGCTGGCAGTCACCATGAGCACTGTTCGTTGCCTCACATGTATAATGTTGCATCAACAGCCATGGAAGTTGTCATTCTTTGCAGTAGGACAAAGTTAATCATATTCACAAGCACACCTCCTCTCAAGGCTAGAACCACAAGGTTGCATTTCCGGTTATATGAATCACATTCTAAAGCTTTTACTGTCCAATAACAAAAACTAAGTCACATGAGTGAGGATCAAACTTGTAAATTTCCATGAACATGCAGTGCCCAGAAAACACCAGAAAGCTAAACTAAAATGAATTTTGCATAGTCTGTTTACTTGACAAAACCTAGAAGGCATGTGAAACATGGTGGAGGGCTTGAATGCAAAACTTTTTTTTTTTAAGACAAAACAAAATTACTTATGAAATTAGAAAAAATTCTAAATAGCCATAAACACTTTAAACTAGAAACCAACAGTAAACAAAGAAAAAAAACATGAAAAAAAGAAAAAAAAGAAAAAGAAAAAAGGGGAAAAATAAAAGAGGAAAAAAAAAAAAGTATGAAATTGCCAAAAACAAAAATCATCTAGACTGAATTTAAGAGCCAATAAATTATTCTAGTGACAGAACTTTGTGAGTGTATACAGTCATCCAAAAGATGGGTGTCGTTGTCTAATACATCTTACCCTACATCGCTACCGTCACCATCACCAACAGCGCCACCTGCAATAATGAAGTCAAAACACATTTTTCATAGTATGAACAAATACAATAAAGGATCTCTGAAATGTGCATCATTTAAAACCCCACTAAAGTCTAAGCTAACTATAAAAAAATATATATATTAACTGAGTTTATAAGAATTGTTTGTCTTTTTAAAACATAATTAAATATCAGTAATTAAAGGCTACAAACTTTGAAAAGCTCACTTTTATTTTATATTCTACATTCTCCTTTACTTATTAATGACAATTTTCAAAAAGGGAGAGGGGGGGGGAAAATATATATACTCTAATGGTCAGAAAGTTTCAGAAGCTTTCCTAAATATTTTCATATCACTATTTGGACTTGAATAAGCTCTTAAACTGCTACCTTTGGTAAATGCCCTACGAAATAAGTATCTTTGTATTAATCACCCTATGAAGTATTAGTCTCACCTACTTGGAATTTAATCTGCTGTTCAAGACCATAACCCTTTCTAAACGCTAATTATGATAACTTGAAATATCCCTTATAATAAGCATCAGAATATATTTTGTTACAAAAAAGCAGACTTTTTTCTTTCACATTCAGCACTTGTTATAAATTTTGTTTAAATTTGTAATCCCTCTCTCCCACTTGCACTCTGTTTCTCCTACAAAGTCTTACAATATATATATATATATCACATATGTCATATATATAATATATACATATATATGTATAATATATATATAATATATATATAATATATATATGTACAATATATATGTATAATATATATATATAATATAATATAATATCACACACACACACACACACACACACACACACACACTCACTCACTCACTCACTCACTCACTCACTCACTCACTCACTCACTCACTCACACTCACACACACACACACACACACACACACACACACACACACACTCACTCACTCACTCACTCACACTCACTCACTCACTCACTCACTCACTCACACTCACTCACACATATATGCACATACATATACATATACATAATATAACATAAAAATTACTATTCTACAGAAAAAAAAAACATCTATGTGCTTATGATAGCAAATACTATACTTTTTTGTTAAATACCTTTAACTCAACTGGATAATATTTACTTCAACAAAAATATTTAAAAAAATGTATAATAACAACTTAATCCTGAAAGACAGTGATCACTTATTGGAATTATTAATTTATTTCAAGATTTTTTTTTTTATCATCAAAACTTTTCAAGGAAAGAGCAATCAATTTAACCTAAATCAGACAAATCATGTGATGCACTAACCTGCCAGCGATGACTTTTTAATTCCCTGGAAAAAATTGAAATCCTATTTTTCATCTAATAAATTAGAAGCAAAGGAAATATACCCAATGCAAAAAAAAAATATGAATGGGTAGTATACAACATAAAATCATTCTGTTCACACAATGTATACCACAGAAGAGAATAAACTGGGAAACAGCAAAATCCCAACATTGCTTCACACAGTGCTACACAAATCTTCAAATCTGAACTTGAATTTTTGAAAAAGAGCTATACCACTGTGTCTGTCTAAAGTCAACCTTGCAAACAATGATGCTTCAAACTAAAAACAGAATAATTAAAAGTTTTAAAGAATACATTACAAAGCTTCTTGTACAATATACCTATTGTCATTTATTTGCATTACTTTTTGCACCACTTTGTATTTAAAAAGAAACACAATCCTTTACAAACACTGAAACACCACAATCCTTTACAAATACTTTAACACCTGGGCATATATCATAAAACCTCTTTGTGATAACATGACTAATTCTCAGTCTACACAAGTAATCCATGAGAAGTTGCAGAGTGAATTTTCTAGCTCTCACACTAATTTCTGGGTGGAGATCATATTGAGCTGAAAAGCTGCATCAATCATATAACATTATCAATATCAATTACAACTATCATTAACTCACAGATGCCAAATGAGAATATATATCACTAACATTTAAAACTCATTTACCTTTCTCATCACTTAAAAACTTCCAGCTGTCAAATTTATATCAACATAAAATAAACCTAAGTTACAAGCAAATCTGATAGATCATAATGTTATATTTCTTGAAAAGAAATCCAGTAAGTTGCTCAGTACCCTACAGCATTCAGACAGACATACTATGAAAGCACATCTGTCAGATCACAAATTAGCATGTCCTTAAAGAGTTACCAATCATTATCACTCACAATCACACACTATCACTCTTTTCCAGTAATTGAACTTCATTCCTATCTAGCCATGTGAAGACACTTATTTCATACAGCCCAATTGTAGTATCTGCTGTACAAGTATCGCTGAAAAGACAACTGCACAATGAAAACTCCTGAGTTGAACACTAAGATGAAGATAACAATTAGGAATCTAAACATTATTGCCTACTTGATTTCCCATCCACTTCCTAGTAATACTTTTTTGAAGGAGTATGTACAAAATATATTGAACAAAAAATATCAATGGTCAAATACAAGAACAAGAAGGATGACAGTACACTCAACAATGGTGATGGGGAGAGAAAAGATAGAGAGAGGAAGGGTGGAAAGGAAATCATACACCTTTTCATAATAATGTATGGTATTCTGTTAAAAAAATAGATAGATAAATACATAAGTAAAAAAAAAGAAAAAAAAAAAAGCTTTTGATATGGTTAAATGACTGTACAAGATAGCAGCAACTTAAAAAAAATAACATTAGCAAAAAGGAGCTTTTCTTCTCCAATCATTACTGACCACATAAACAATTAAGAGCTATTACAATGCAATCCAGGGATGTTTCATGAGTCAGCAAACTGATTTACTTTAAAAGTTATGGAAAAGAAACCTGAAACAAAGAAAGAAGCAACAAAATTTAATCTATTACTAAGAAATCAATAATATTTCTCATACCATAAAACAACACACTGAAAACAAAGGAAATGCTGTTGACAGTTGACAGACTGATAATATAAAATAATATCAATAAGCTCTTTATGGACCTCCTTTCCCTGCATATATAACCTACAGCAAACATGAGTGCCTTTGTATTTTTAAGGGAAACAAGTTTCCCAATTTATCTCACCTGAACATTACCTAGATATATGTGAGAGAGGGGGGGAGGGAGAGGGAGAGGGGGAGAGGGGGGAGGGAGAGGGGGGAGGGAGAGGGAGAGGGGGGAGGGAGAGGAGAGGGGGGAGGGAGAGGAGAGAGAGAGAGAGAGAGAGAGAGAGAGAGAGAGAGAGAGAGAGAGAGAGAGAGAGAGAGAGAGAGAGAGAGAGAGAGAGAGAGAGAGGGGGGGGGGGGGGCGGTGTGTGTGTGATATGACACTGTTATTCAAGTAAGCCCAAAGCTTTATGTGCTGACAGGAGAGCTAATATGTAATTTGATGGCCTACTTTAATACACAATTACTTCAGCCCAAAGCATTCTCATTTGGATTTTTATAAGGATAATTGGGAAACCTTTTTTTTTCTGGATTTTTGCCAGTTCATCCATTGCACATATATCTGAGAGTGACAACTGCTTTATTCATTGTTTAACCCCTTGGTGCCGGGTATGACGTGTACGTACGTGCTATGCCCACCGTGAGTACTTGTTTGATTGTTTATACGCATAGATGGCAACACTTGTACTAACTCCCCAAAGAGCCAGTTACGAGCACCGCCCGTCTCGCCCGCTTACCCGTTTCTTTGATTTACAAAATATTTTACGTAATCTTATTTTGCTGTTACTAATGTTAAAAAAAATTATAAAAATTATAATGTTTATGATAAAAATAACACCATCGATTTTCATACCACTAGTGAAAAATACGTTTTTCCCGCCATTTAAATCCTGCGCTAGCAGAACCATCTATCGGCAGACATTTCACGAAAAACAGAAAGTGGGCACAATATTTTCCCCATTTTTTGTTCATTTTCCCCGGCACCATTGGGTTAAGGAATAAAAAAAATAAATTAATATAAATGCATGAGGAATGAGGGCGAAAGGGTAAAGGGGAAGAGGAAAGAGGGAAGAGGGAAGAAAGAAGAGTGAATAGTGAAAAGGGAGGAGAAAAGGGAGAATGGAGATGAGGAACTGGAGGATGAACAAAACAGACAGTAAGAAGAGTATCAAACAAAGAATGAGGAAGGAGGAAAGCAGGGAAAGGAAAAGGGAAGTATAAAGGAAAATTAAGTAAAATAAAAAATGGCAAGGGGAGAAAAGTGGAGGGGGAAAGAAAAGGGGAAATGAAAGAAAAAATGTGGAAAAAAAAACAAAACAAAAAGAAAGAAAAGATAAAAAAAAAAAGGCAGAAAGATGAAAAGCTGAAAGAATAAAAATAAAATTAAATAAGAGGGGAAGGGAAAAAAATAGAAAAATGAAGAAATGGAAAGATAAAAAAAGAAAAAGAATAAAAAATAAGGTTAAAGACGGAAGAATGGAGATATGGAGGAAGCAGGTAAGAAAAGTAAAAGTAAAAGTAAAAAAATAAATAAATAAATAAAAAAATAAATAAATAAAAAATAAAGTGAGGAAAGAAAGGAGTGGGAGAGGAAGGGGGGGGGGGGGGGATAAAAGATTACACGCGTCCTAGAGTGAATCATGATAACTGGACAGCAAATTCACATACACTAAAATGAGCAAACTTGCAAACTTTTCCACTAAGATAAAGCATATCTAATGAGGCAAAATTCTAAAGGAATATGCTCACTACTGAAAGATTGCATAAAAAAAAACATAATACAAAAACAAACAGGTCATGTTTGTACTGTGAAGAAATTATTTTAGCTAATATCATTCAAATTCCTGGAATTTTGTAAAAATCTATAAAAAAATGACTGAATAATAAAAGAAAGTGTAACTGTAAATACAGAAATCAGTGTGTGTGCATGTGTATGTGTGTGCATGTATGTGTGTGTGTGTGTGTGTGTGTGTGTGTGTGTGTGTGTGTGTGTGTGTGTGTGTGTGTGTGTGTGTGTGTGTGTGTGTGTGTGACTGCGTGTGTGTGACAGCGTGTGTGTGACTGCGTGTGTGTGACTGCGTGTGTGACTGCGTGTGTGTGACTGTGTGTGTGTGTGTGTGTGTGTGTGTGTGTGTGTGTGTGTGTGTGTGTGTGTGTGTGTGTGTGTGTGTGTGTGTGTGTGACTGCGTGTGTGTGTGTGTGTGACTGTGTGTGTGTGACTGCGTGTGTGTGTGTGTGTGACTGCGTGTGTGTGTGTGTGTGTGTGTGACTGCGTGTGTGTGTGACTGCGTGTGTGTGTGTGTGTGTGTGACTGCGTGTGTGTGTGACTGCGTGTGTGTGTGTGTGTGTGTGACTGCGTGTGTGTGTGACTGCGTGTGTGTGTGTGTGTGTGTGTGTGTGTGTGTGACTGCGTGTGTGTGTGTGTGACTGCGTGTGTGACTGCGTGTGTGTGTGTGTGTGTGACTGCGTGTGTGTGACTGCGTGTGTGTGACTGCGTGTGTGTGTGTGTGTGTGTGTGTGTGACTGCGTGTGTGTGTGTGTGTGTGTGTGTGACTGCGTGTGTGTGTGTGTGTGTGTGTGTGTGACTGCGTGTGTGTGTGTGTGCGACTGCGTGTGTGTGTGTGCGACTGCGTGTGTGTGTGTGTGACTGCGTGTGTGTGTGTGTGTGTGTGTGTGTGTGTGTGTGTGTGTGTGTGTGTGTGTGTGTGTGTGTGTGTGTGTGTGTGTGTGTGACTGCGTGTGTGTGTGTGTGTGTGACTGCGTGTGTGTGTGTGTGACTGTGTGTGTGTGTGTGTGTGACTGCGTGTGTGTGTGTGTGTGACTGCGTGTGTGTGTGTGTGTGTGTGTGTGACTGCGTGTGTGTGACTGTGTGTGTGTGTGTGTGTGTGTGTGACTGCGTGTGTGTGTGTGTGTGTGTGACTGCGTGTGTGTGACTGCGTGTGTGTGTGACTGCGTGTGTGTGACTGCGTGTGTGTGTGTGTGTGTGTGACTGCGTGTGTGTGTGTGACTGCGTGTGTGTGTGTGTGTGTGTGTGACTGCGTGTGTGTGTGTGTGCGACTGCGTGTGTGTGTGTGTGACTGCGTGTGTGTGTGTGTGTGTGTGTGTGTGTGTGTGTGTGTGTGTGTGTGTGTGTGTGTGTGCATGCAAGCATGCATATGCATGTGATTCAGAAAATTGCCCAAGTATCTTACCCATCACAAAGTGCCACACTTTCTTTTGTCTGTAATTTTTCCTATGAGAAATAAGTGTCTGTATCTCTGCCTGTGTGACTGTCCTTGAATATCATTTATCTTGAGAACCATACAGTGTGTGGAAGTCTGCACAAGCAAATTACCCTTTACACAACAGGCACACTTTGGACAGGCACTGGACCTAATCCTAATAACAATAATCAGTGGAATGCATAAGAATACCGATAGCAAAAAAAACAAAAACAAAAGAGGTAAATCTTCAGTAAGCATTATCATCCGGCAAAGAAGGGTCTTTTAAACAAAAATCTCACTCTCAGTCTAGTCATATTACAAAGAGGTTTTACATCTGCAAGATTTTACCCCAGAGACTCATACCAAACTAATCTATGAAGAGAAGCAAAAAGAAAGGAAAATAAAGAGGTATGGAGAAAAGCACAAAGAACGAAATGGAAAAGTAAAGCCAAAGAGAGAGGAAAAAAAGGAGTAAAATGGAAAAATGGGAAAGATAAAAAAGCTGGGGAGAAAACAAGGCTGGAGAAGAGACAAGGAAGAAGTAGGCAAGGAAAGAAAAGAAAAATTAAAAATGAGAAAAGAAAGGGGTGGGAGACAGATTGGATGAGTCCTAGAGTGAATCAGATGATAAATGGATAGCAAAATCACATACACTAGGATGTGCAAACTCGCAAACTTTCTAAGATAAAGCATAGCTAATGAGGCAAAATTCAAAAGGAATAAGCCAACTACCAGAGGATTACATAAAGAACATGTACAGATCATGTTTGTACTGTTAAGCAAAGATTTGAACTAACATCATTAAAATTCCTGCTTTTTTGTATTCCTGGTATCTATTTATTTATTTATTTATTTATTTATCTATTTATTTGTGTGTGTGTGTGAGAGTGTGTGTGTGTGAGAGTGTGTGTGTGTGTGAGAGTGTGTGTGTGTGAGTGTGTGTGTGTGTGAGAGTGTGTGTGTGTGAGAGTGTGTGTGTGTGAGAGTGTGTGTGTGTGAGAGTGTGTGTGTGAGAGTGTGTGTGTGTGAGAGTGTGTGTGTGAGAGTGTGTGTGTGTGAGAGTGTGTGTGTGAGAGTGTGTGTGTGAGAGTGTGTGTGTGTGAGAGTGTGTGTGTGTGAGAGTGTGTGTGTGTGAGAGTGTGTGTGTGTGAGAGTGTGTGTGTGTGTGAGAGTGTGTGTGTGTGAGAGTGTGTGTGTGTGAGAGTGTGTGTGTGTGAGAGTGTGTGTGTGTGAGAGTGTGTGTGTGTGAGAGTGTGTGTGTGTGAGAGTGTGTGTGTGTGAGAGTGTGTGTGTGTGAGAGTGTGTGTGTGTGAGAGTGTGTGTGTGTGAGAGTGTGTGTGTGTGAGAGTGTGTGTGTGTGAGAGTGTGTGTGTGTGAGAGTGTGTGTGTGTGAGAGTGTGTGTGTGTGAGAGTGTGTGTGTGTGAGAGTGTGTGTGTGTGAGAGTGTGTGTGTGTGAGAGTGTGTGTGTGTGAGAGTGTGTGTGTGTGAGAGTGTGTGTGTGTGAGAGTGTGTGTGTGTGAGAGTGTGTGTGTGAGAGAGTGTGTGTGTGAGAGAGTGTGTGTGTGAGAGAGTGTGTGTGTGAGAGAGTGTGTGTGTGAGAGAGTGTGTGTGTGAGAGAGTGTGTGTGTGAGAGAGTGTGTGTGTGAGAGAGTGTGTGTGTGAGAGAGTGTGTGTGTGAGAGAGTGTGTGTGTGAGAGAGTGTGTGTGTGAGAGTGTGTGTGTGAGAGTGTGTGTGTGTGAGTGTGTGCGCACACATGTGTTTGTTTTGTGTGTGTTTTGCTTTGTCTGTATTTTTCCTATGAGAAATGACAGTGTCTGTATCTCTGCCTGTGTGACTGTCCTTAAATATCAATTTATCTTGAGAACCATACACTGTGTGAAAGTCTGCTCAAGCAATTTACCCATTACACAACAGGCACACTTTGGACAGGCACTGGACTTAATACTAATGACAATAATCAGTGGAATGCATAAGAATACTGATAGCAAAAAAAAACAAAAGAGGTAAATCTTCAGTAAGCATTATCATCCGGCAAACAAAATCTCACTCTCAGTCTAGTCAAGTCACAAAGAGGTTTTATATCTGCAAGATTTTACCCCCAGAGACTCATACTAAACTAAATCATGCAAATGATTCTGAAATATCTCAGGGATTAAGAGGAGGAAGCAATTAGATTAATAAGTCAAATCCCCAGAACTATCAAAAGAAGTGATATTAACAAAGTAGTGCAATTACATTTGGTTTTACAATGCCATAGCTGTTGTCAATAGAAAAAGAGTAACAGGCCTCAATAATGATTCTTAGACCATCATGCTAAATAATCAGAGATGCACAGCGGCCAAGTACTATTACTTATATGATCAAAATGATATGTACAATATGCCTTCATATATACATAGATATATGCATATGTATATGTGAATAAATAAATGTGTGTGCACGAGTGAGATAATATGCTGCTGATACCTGCAAATCTAATTAGTCATGAAGATTGTGCAACAAAATATTTGAAATGAAGGGATTTAACTATGACCCAGTGAATAATGATAAAAGTAATAGGGAAGAGAAAAACAAACAAACAAAGAAACAAAAAATGTAGGAGTTCCATAGTAAACAAAGACAAAAAAAGAATATTCTATGGAAAAGACATCAGAAAACTATATGGTTAAGCAATGTCAGTGATGGTGTCACTGTACATCTATTATACATAAAATATTCATACATATATATATCAATGAGTAGAAATGGCAAAGAAAAATATCAAATTAATTTCTGTAAATATAAAAGCATTACTCAGATTCATATTACACTTATATTAGCTTAGACCTATCTTATTTACATATGAAATCACAATAATATAGAGTGTCCACTAGTTCTGAATCCCATATCTATTCTTGTAAATATTCAAACTTTATCCACTAAAGCCAAGTCTTAAAACTCAAATACAAACATGCAAGTTATTTCTCAAACTGGCATAGCTCCACTAAATATCTTTCTGGGGGGGAAAAAAGTAAGTCAGTTCACATCAGCCCACAGATACTGGGAGCCAACGATTTATGAACTGTCTCACTATGGGTTTGTGTTACTGTCTTTTCTGAACATATAGAAGGCTCTATAAATGCTTAGTTGCTAAGGATAGTCAATTACTAACACCACCTATTAACCCCATTCCCTGAATTTTGGGCGAAAAAAAAAAAAGTTTTTATCTTTATTACTACTACTGTTCTTAATGTTATCATAATAATAATAACAGTAATAGCAATGATGATGATGAAGATGATGAAGATAATAATAAGTAATAATAATAATAGTAATAATAGTAATAATAATAATAGTAATAATAGTAATAATAATAATAATAATAATAACAATAATAATAATAATAATAATAATATTATCAATAATAATAATAACTATCATAACAACAACAACAATAATAATTACTGTAACAACAAAAATAATAATAGTAATAGTAATAATAATAATGATGATGATAATAATAATAATAATAGTAATAATAATAACACCAACAACAACAATAACAACAATAGTAATAATACAAAACATTGTTTTAATAACAATAAAAAATAATAATAATAACAACAACAATAATAATAACAAAAAAAATAATAATGATAATAATAATAGTAATAGTAATAACAATAATAATAATAACAACAATAACAATAATAATAATAATAATAATAATAATAATAATAATAATAATTACAAAAGTAGTGCCAATATTACTACTACTAATAATAATGTTAGTAAAAAAAAAACATAATTGTGATATTAAACAGCAATAGCAATAATAACAATAACAATAATAACAACACCAACAACAATAATAATAATAATAAAGACAATAATAATAAAAATTTTAATGATGATGATGATAATTATAAAAACAACAACAATGCCAACAACAACAATAATGGCAATAATAATAACATGAACATTAACAATAATAATGATATTATAATAATAATAATAATAATAATAATAATAAAAAATGACAATAATAATGATAATTGTAACAATAATTAAATAATAACAATAACAGTAAAAAATAATTAAAATAATAAAGACAATAATATTAATATTAATAACAACTTAACTAAGAATAATGATAATAAAATCAGTAATAATCATAATACTGACAACTATAAGAACAACTATAATAATAATAATAATAATATTAATACTAATACTAATATTATTATTATCATTAAAAACAATAATAATAATAATAATAATAATAAAAAGAATAATAACAATAATAATAATAATAATAATAATAATAATAATAATAACAAGAATAACTATACATCATAATCTAATAATAATAACCATAGTAATGAATAATGCAAATCAAATAATCACAGTTGCCACTAATAACAATAATAATCACAATTACGATAAGCAATCTACAACTTTGCAGTTCCTTACCTCAAGCGGCAGGTGGGCAGCACATGGGTGGTGGAGCCAAGGGACAAACTGAAATCTCCAAAAGCTAATATTATTTGATAAGGCTAATAAATATTTCATTTTGAAAACTGCATAAAAATTCCTTGTAAATGAACTTGAAATAGTATCAGCAGATATTTACTGCAAGAATGTTTTACATGAATTCTCTGTTTAGTTAGTCACCAGATGGTTTTATAAATTTGGTAATCAAAAGTTGGAAAAATATCTGACCATGTTATGAACAAAATTGGCAAATATCAACAATACATATCAAAACTATATATTCCTTAAATGAAAAAGAAGGAGGGATGGCTCATCTTAAGATGCTTAAGTTTTTCTTTATTCCTAAAAAGAAAATAAAAAAATATATATAATCCACATACATATACAGAAGTCAAAATCAATGACTTGTAAGGAGACCTTGTAACCACTCTTCAAATATTTACTTAAATAAGTGTCCCCTTGAAATGACTTGTAGCTTTATATACATTATTTAATGAAGGGAAAAAAAATAAGATACAGGCATACTCTCCTCTATCTCTTGCCCCCTCTTGTCTTACGCCCTCCTCTTCTCGGGGAAGCTTTTACAGGAGCGGATCTTTCTTTCGTTAGATCCTTTTTTGAACTATTTCTATTTGTGGCTATCAGTGCTCCGGACACATCTTTTTGATTAATACTTCGCCTTGTCCTCCTTGCTGTTGGCTCTGGACTTTGAGACAGCACATCAAGCTCTAAGGTTAAGTCTGAGTTCCTTGTACGCTTCCTTGTAGTACTCCTCTTTGGAAGAGT